CCCTCCGCCGGCCGGCCTGCCGCTCCGCCTCTGGCGTCACTGCGCGGCGGAGAGTTCGAGCGCCCCTTCCCTGTGGCCCTGGAAGTATTAATTTTTCAAACTGATGCAGCTGTGTCAAACACTCATCGCTCAGCGTTAACCCTTGGCCTCTCTTCGCAGCCTTCCACGCTGTGCAAAATAGAAACGTTTTACAGCAGGACTCTAGTAATCACCAATATAATGCGTGGCCTTAAATCAATTTATTTTGCCTCAGATTGACACAGAACAAGAAATATTGATAAAAACGAAGTGCAAAAGGAGAGGCTTCAAACAAAAGCGGCTTCTCTCGCTGAGACTACGGACTCAACCTGTCAGTATCGAAGAGTTTAGAGCAAGCGTGCCAATGCTTTAGAGGACAACCTCCCGTTCAGGAATAAGAGTACGGGCTATTACATACAGCGATCTTTACGGTCTAAACGGCACGATCTAGCCTCTTCCTCACGCCTCTGCTTCCTCAGATATTCCAATGTGTACACGGAGTTTGAGTGCTCCACATTCTTAACACACAAATCAGTACTTCTATTTTCACTTTCTATTGGCATGTATTGATTACACAGTGAAGAACCTCTAAATAATTACAACTTTAAAAGCCGAGACTTTGCATGGCTTACCTGGGGCCAGAAGAAATGTAATCATCAGGGTCTGAAAAAAACTGCATGTAATTGACGTCACTTGAGTCAGAGGTCCTGTAGTAAGAGAATTCATCTCAAAAATGGAATTTACAACTTATTCAAGCACCTGGCTAAGTTCCAAATGCTTATGAAAGGTAATGTACACTAAAAAGAGAAAGAGATTAATTTTGTCATCCTCAAAGAAAAATTAAATAGGGTGAAAGTATTTGAAAACGCTCAAGACAACACACACCAGTTCATGCATCAATTTGTCCACCTCATTGTTCCCATTTTACAGGTAAGTTACATGCATTAACGTAGATCCCTGATAGAGCCAGATAGAGAGCTGAAAGGTCCCTTTGTAAGTATTTAACCATTAAACTGTGTATTTTTGTCATTTGATGATAGAATTATAACCTGCTGTATACATCTAGTTTGCCTCGTACCTTCCATCAAGCAGATTACACTTAAACTGTCGTTCTTCATCAAATTTTAAGAACGCATTAGAGCAACAGTATTGATGCATGCAATCTCCACAGCAGAAGTTGGGACAGGATTTTGCAGGTTGTGCCTTGCCATGACGATCAACATATGCCTGACAATCCTCACCCAAAACTGAAAAAAGTTAAAATCCAATAGTTAGTAACTAAAGAAATAATCATATAAAGTCTCTTTCTCAAACTGACCATCTCACCTAAGTTAACATTTAAATATGTTTCAAGTATTTTGGTTAGGTTTTAGAAATCAATTATTTCCTTTAGAGTATAGCAAAGGCAAATACTTACTCCTTGCACACAAAGTATCTCATCTTCGTTAAGTAGCTCTTCCCAACAGTTTACACATACATAAAGGACTAAACTGCATGCAAATATACTTTTGAGATGCTCCGTCTGGTGATACTCTCTTCACCACACCTGCTAGTAGCTACCAAATTACTGTAAAGACTCAAAGAGCAGCATGACTAGCCAGATCTGTTAAAAAACCCACACAAACCCTAAGATCAGTTAGAAGAAAATGTTAAAATTTTCCTAGACATTTGCAGGAAAGATGCAAAAGGCGCAACACAACCGCATTCACTGTAGATTTGAATTTCCATGTGACTTGGTTGTTTCGACCTGTTGCTTTGTTGTTGCTTTGTTTACTTCACGGAAAATCCTAATCCTGTTAATCCATGGCATAAAACACATGTCATAAAACAGATTCCTAGGACTAAAATCGGTCAAGTGGCATGCTCTCACTGCCAGCCTCAACCGGTGCAGCTAGAATGGTATGGAAATGGAGATGTTCATGTACTAGGATGGATTTCCTGGGGGGCATCCCATGCTTTTCAGCATTGCATTGGGCTGATCCATTCCTTAACATACTGGCTGTTTTCTCTCTCTCTCTTTGCCCTTTCAAGCCTGAATGACTGCAATGTAAGAACGGCACATTAAAAGCTTCCAAATGTCACATAAAAATACTTCTCAAAGCTTAAGCAAAAAGCATTTCCCAAGAAGAATCTTTAGCAAGAGTATCATTACAGTTTTCAGTGATAAATGCTGCAGTCAGCTTTTTCTATTCCTCATTTTCCTTCCTATCACATCATCACATATCACATTAACAAGACCTACGCTGATATTTTGCTCCTAAACCACACTCTATCCGAGAAGCTCAAATTACTTCAGGTGTAGTTGTTCAGAGAAAGCAAACAAGAAGAGACAAAGACAACAAATCATGTTCCTTCAGAAGAAAAGTAAGGGGTATTTCCTGGAGTATTTAAACTGATTTTGCCATTTGAAAACTCACTCTTGACTCTCTGGCACCAAGACATACCTGAATATTTCAGCCACCATTAAAAAGAAAAAGTAGAATGTTCCAAGGGTTTAAATGTGGAGGTTCATTAAACACAAGCAAAGAGGTATCAATACCAATACCACAGTACTTCTGCTAATGTGTTTACACATGCTTATGCCTGGTTCACCAAATTTTTCCTCTGCAGACACATAACGTCACCTGACAACTCTCTCTTTCCTGTATCACCAATAAGGAAATGACAGGTAGCTAAACAGATTCCAAAATACCTTGTGAAATTACAAACAAAACAAGGCAACCAACAAAGTTACTCCCTCCATGTCACAATTGCGCTACTGCAGCACAATAAAATAACAACAGAAACCAAAGGTCTAGGCCAGTTCTCAGGTGGCTGAGCTGAGCCAACAAGCGCCGAGCACACCTAAAGAGAAGAATTTGGCTCCTCTACTTTGTTCCTCTCTTCTTCCATTAGCTGTGGCACCCATGAGACTCTTCCTCAACTGATTCAATTCATCAGCTGATCAGCAGATCAACTAGGGGCTTGTGGGACTTTTTTCCCCAGTTGGCTTTCTGCCGGGTTAATGATTTGAATCACCTCAGAAGAGGTCCAGCGTACACCCAACCCACCACGATGCAAGGACTAAGGCTGAGGGAGGCAGAAATGATCTCCTGTTTTGGTATACCTGCTATTGAGGGGTTCATCCTATCCTGCAAAACAGCAGCCTGATGATTTTACACAATCAGTACCACAAAAACCCTTTAACAAACCGATCGAGTTCCACCTCAAGAGCAGAGCTGCTAAACTATTCCCACTGAAAGTCCCCAACCATTCCAGTAAGAAAACTTCTAACTTCCAAACCCATTTACTCAAGGCCAGTTTGCATACAGTTACTGCTGTAGCACCATCATTGTGAGCCAGCTTGAAGAACCCTTTTTCTGGTGCTCACCCTTCAAAGTACTTACAGATAAAACTCTGACCATTTCAGCCATGCTTTAGCTCAGCCCTCAGACAAACTGTGATCCTTTACTACTGCGACCAAGTTAAATGTCCTCTTGCATATCCACTAAAGATCACATTCACCTTTCCTGCACGTCTGTTCAGAATTTGATCCATCAGATAAAGTGATGCACTGATGCATCAAGAGCACTTCTCCTTTTCTGAGACTTCACCTGATAAGTCCTATGATCGCATCTGCTTTTTCTTATCACATGACAAAGTTGGGGAAGACCACAGGCTCCATCCTTTAAGCACAATAACAAGATAGTTACAAATAAGGCTGCTGAAAAAAACCCAACTATCAATGTTAGCATCTGATAGTTACGAATGAACTAAATTATCAAATGAGTTTATATAAACAGTGCTGTTTATGCAATATCATCACTTAACACCTAAGTATTTCTATTACCTTGCCCTAAAAGGCTAAAATTTACTGTCAGGGGTGAAAAGGTGAAGGTTTTTAATGGGATGCATCAAGAGTGACCAGCAGCCACTTTGTGGCACATCGTTTCTCCCCCGATAGTCTTACCTTAGGTTTACCAGTAGACAGTATTCATTAGGTGGGTCCACCCAGTCATTACTGGGGCACTAATTGCTGCTGTCTAACCACGCACACCAGTATCAACACAAACCTACCTCACTTTCAGCGTAACTTTTCTCTCAGAGAACCCAATTCGCACCAAAACCGCTGTTCTGGTGTGGGTATCTCCTGCCCACGCCGGGGCGAGGGCCAACGCTGGGGCCGGGGAGCGTACTTTTGGGCGGCCGTGGGCCCTCGCCCCAAGCGCAGGCAGGACGTGTCCCACCGCCGCTTGGGCGGCTGACCTGAGGGGTCTCTGCTAGAAGC